ACCAAACACAACACTATTCCGATGCCTATTGGTTCTCATTTTGATGGACCTACTTCTAGTTTTGCTGGGATGCTATGTGATAGGTCCCTGGGACAGTGGGGTCCCCAGGACAAGAAAGATGAGATGATTCTGAAGCTTGTCCCCAGAGTGCGTGAGCTGCAAAATCAGCTACAAGAATGGACAGAATGGGCCAATCAGAAGGTTATGCAGGCTGCTCGTAGGCTAAATAAGGACAAGGTTGAACTTAAGACGCTTAGGCAAGAAAAAGAGGAGGTTGAGAGGCTCAAGAAAGAGAAGCAGACAGTGGAAAAAAACACCATGAAGAAGCTTTCTGAGATGGAGAATGCTTTGTGTAAGGCTAGCGGACAGGTGAAGCTTGCTAATGCTGCAGTCCGTAGGCTTGAGGTGGAGAATGCAGCACTGAGGCAGGAGATGGAGGTGGCAAAATTACGTGCAGCAGAGTCAGCTGCAAACTGCCAGGAGGTATCCAAGAGGGAGAAGAAGACATTGATGAAATATCGGTCATGGGAGAAACAGAAAACAATGTTCCAGGAAGAGCTCATGACTGAAAAGCATAAAGTTGCCCAAATGTTACAGGACCTAGAGAAAACTAAAGTTCTTCAAGAACAATTTGAGGTATGTTTTATAGAAAGCTTAATTCCAAGCATTTGTTTACATTTTCCTGCACTCTTTCATCTTGCTCGTCAGCTCATAAAACAATGGTAAAAACTTGATTGTTGTGACTGTACACCGACAACTATGTAACATTTCATGCATGTAAACTTGGTGCATGTAATGGAAAGTCTTTATCAACAAATTCTTGCTGATTCAAAAAAATAAAATAAATTAAAATAAAAGGAAGAAGAAGAAGAAGAAGAAGAAGAAGAAGAAGAAAAAAGGAAAAAAGTAAAGTAAAAGAGGGACATTCACTGAAATGCAGTGTCAAAATCTGGCTATTCCTTTGAGAAGGCAAATTTATATGGTTAGTATACCAGATGCAGAGAATAGGTGCATTTGCATCAGAAAGAAATGCAAATGCAAAGACATGGGTGTTTGCGTTTTGTCTATTGCATATCATGTCTCTTTATTAGCTACCATATTATAGGTTGGAATTTTGCTAGAGTTAAGGGTCAATTTTTATATTTACTATAGTATGCACACAAGATTTTATGCTGTTAATTTGTATCTTTCTTGGATGCCAAATATTCTGGAAAAAAAAATTGCAGAATCTGCTTTCAGTTATATCTTAGCTCAGGTTTCATATTCTTGACATTTCAATGGAAGAATGACACATGAGATATTCCGTGTGCCTATGTTAGACTTGTTTGAAATTTGTTTGTTTGTTTGGTGTTTTTTTTTTTTTTGTCTCAAACTGCTTCTGTCACTGTTCAACGTGTTCCAAGCTGATTGGATAGAACATATAATATGCTGCTTACATTTGAGGGTCCTTTCTCATTGAAAAAGGAAAATATCACAGGCTAAAAGGCAACAGGAAAAGAAGGCGAAGGAAGAACTACTTAGTCAAGCTAGTGCAATAGGAAAAGAGAGGGAACAAATTGAGGCTTTGGCAAAATCAAAGGAGTACATGATAAAATCCAAAGTAGAAACCAATTTGCTGAAGTACCAAGAAGATATTCAGAAACTGGAAAAAGAAATCTCCCAGTTGAGACTGAAAACAGACTCTTCAAAAATTGCTGCACTTCGGAGGGGCATTGATGGAAGCTATAATGGCAGAATCACCCACGAACAAAACAGCCCTGCTCAAAAGGAGTCTAACATTGCATTTATATCAGAAGTGATAACAGGTTTCAGTGCCTTCTCTGGAAAAGGAGGTGTCAAACGTGAACGGGAATGTGTAATGTGCCTATCAGAGGAGATGTCTGTGGTTTTTCTCCCTTGTGCTCATCAAATTGTCTGCACGACATGCAATGAGCTCCATGAGAAGCAAGGGATGAAAGACTGCCCTTCCTGCAGGAGTCCCATCCAGCGGCGTATTCCTGTACGTTATGCTCGCTCTTGAATTTTATTCTGGAAGTGAGTTGAGTGTTTTTGAATAATCTTTGTGGGACTCCTTTGAATTCAATAACGCATTTGAGTTACACCTTTCAGAAGTTCAGACAATTATTACATTCTCTTGCATTTTCAAGGTTGATGCTCACTCATGTTCTCCCCATCCTTTATTCACCCTTACAAAGTTACAAGAAATCAGCTTGAAAAACAGAGCTAGATACGAGTCAGGTCTGAAAAGAAAAAAAAATACAAATAAAGATATTAATTTTGTATTTTTTTATTTAAAAATGTTAATTTTATTATGTTTAAATAAAAACATTAATTTTTATTTTTTTATTTAAAAATACTAATTTTTAACATTTTTAATTTAATAATGTTAATTTTTTATTTTTTATTTAAAAATTAATTAGATTATGATATTTACATAATAAATAAATTTTTTAAAAGGTTAGTATTCTTAAATAAAAAAATTAAAAGTCAATATTTTTAAATAAAAAAATTAAAAATTAATATCTCTATTCAAAAATTAATAAAATTAATATTTTAAAATAAAATATATAAAATTGACATATCTATTTACACTTTTTTTTCATCAAGTGTAAAATTTTGTCAGTTCTCAACGTGATTTTCAAATCAGTGCCAAAAAGTAAGTCTTCTTCTGGCAATTTATTGGCTATCAACCATATATGTAGCCCTTTAATGGTCCAAAATATGAATATCATGACTTTGATCCCTAGGAGCATTGAAAGCTTACCAATATTTAAGGCAATTTGTCTTCAATATGCTGGTTATTTTAAGAATCTGATATTGGACATTAGGTTGATTTTAACATCTGTAAGACTTGAGGTGAAATCCAAGTCATCCCAAGAGCCAACTGGGACTTGGGAGAGGATGAGATTGGATAGGGCAGGCCTGCAATGTCTTACTGTCTCCATGAGACAACCACTTACTGACATGATTTGTGAACCAAAACCAATGGGTTTGTCCTATTAATACACCCCATTTGATGCATAGATGTATAAGGGAGGTCCATTCGTCTATGCTCCTTGTTATCACTTGAATTGTGGTCGAGATAATAACAAGCTAAAGAAATATGGAGAAATATTGAAGAAAAAAACAAAAAAACTTCATATTTAAAATCAATTGGAAGTTTTAAACTTGTTTAGTATAATTATAATTGTTACTATTACGTTTTAATTTTAAAAATCTTATTTTATAATATTAATTGTATCAGATTATAAAATAAGAATCATTGTATAAAAGAGAGACTCTTAATATCAAAAAACTCAACTTTCATTCAATAGTTAGTGTTATGCAGTTTGATATAGTTTAAACTTTATAATAATTTTTTTCTTTAATTTTTATAAATTTTATAATTTTTGAAAACTAAAATAAAAAATTAATAATTAATAATTCATTTCAGCCTAAGTTTTTTTTTTTTTTCTGTGATTGAATGAAGTAGAAAATTTAAGGCAGAAAAGCATGACGTGGAAATCGAATGGAACAGGACAAATGACGTGGCAGTTGTTAATTTGCGTGCCATGACAGGGTGGTTGGATGACTGATCCAGCAATCTGTTGGAGAAACATCCAAACCATGCCTTATAACAGACCAACCACCATATGACACGTCAGAGTCGTCAACATCTCAATTAGTGGGACCCTGTTATCGTAGCATTTCCCTGAATTAAAACCATTTCCTATGAGGGTATTTTAGGTAATTCACATATAATTAATCAAAGCCTTCTTTCTTATTGGAATTTTCTCCCGGTTAAATTAATTATTAAAAAAAATTCTTTTATTTTATAATTTGGTATAATTTAAATTTAAAAATATATTTTAATTACTAAAATAATTGGCCAAAGAAGGAAATAAAAGTAATAATTTTTTTTTTTTTTATTTTCCTTACAGAAGCAGCTCTTGTGTACGAGGAACTTGTCACCATTTTATATGGAAATCAGCTTTTTAATATTAATTTTAATATTTAAAAATTATATTAAATTTAATTAATTTAAAATTAAATTACATCAAATTTTATAAAATTTTTTTAATATTTATTATTTTATTTATAATATTTAAAATTAAAATTTAATTTAAAAAAATTAAATTTATTCCACCCAAACCAACACATTTTTAAGTTAAAAACTCAGCTTTGATCGCTGTATGTTCCTCTCTACCATCGTTTTTATTTTATTATTTTTATTATTTTAAATTTCTGGCTTTTCCTTTTCCTCTTACGACCATCGATAGTTTCTTTAGCTGCGCGCATGCATACCAACGACGAGAAGTGTTTGGAGCTTACTCAGAAGGTGATGAATACTGCCTTTCAATTTCGTCATCCGGATAGTTGAAACCCAAGTATTTGTAGCATTTTACTAATTATTTCATTTTCGTTAATATTTTAATACAACAAGGGTTGGATCATGCTAGTAAGAGCCAAAAAAATGTAAACAAATCATCTTAAACTAAAAAATTAATATATTGCATTCATAACTTATATTCATTTTGTCAGTAACCTAAATAATTCAATGATAATTTTTTTTTACTAAAAATAAAAAATTCTGAATTGAAGTCACATAATATGCGGATATGATAAAATAAAAAATGAGAAACAACTACCTCTAATTATGTATCCAATATAAAAAAAAAAAAAAAAAACTTATATTCATTTTATTTCTCCTAACGTGAGACGTCATTAACAACTTCCATTACTACTCACAATGTGAACGTACAAACGCCACGCAACTTAATTAAGTTGTGAATTCTTGATTGTAAAATGTTTGTTCACCATGTATATGGGGTTAAAGCTTAATTACTTGTAATAGGCAATGGATTAATTATTCTCTTCGAATTTATCATCTAGTATAGTCAGAAATCTAGAATGTTCTAGGATTGGGATTTGCTTACTAGGATTAGGATATTTCTTCTTCAAAGAAATTTTGGTATATAGATTTTTTTATCTTCTTCCGTCAAGAGAAAAAAATATAGATTTTTTTAAAAGGATGCTAAAGTTCATGCCTTTTTGATAAATTATTTTAATATCTTATATAGATGTGGTTATTGTCATTATTAAAAGTATTAAATTTATTGATTAAAATTTTAGTTTTTTTTCTTAAGCTATATTTGAAAAAAACTATTTGTTAGTTAATTTTAATTTGTTATCAATTATTACTCAATGTAATATAGATTTTTTTTTTTATCTTTGTGTTCCGCCAAGAGAAAAAGACAAAGATATATATATACATAGATTTTTTAAAGAGGATGCTGATGTTTATGTCTTTTCTGACAAATTACGTACATAACTTGATATGGTTATTGTGATGACTACTAAAAATATTAAAGTTATTAGTTAAAATTTTAGTTTTTATTTTGAAGTTGTATTTTAAAATATCTGTTTTTCAATTCATTTTAATTTGTTATCAATTATTATTTAATAGTTACAATTATTAGTTATTGTCATTCACCAAATTAAATAATCTTAGTATTTTCAAAAAAGATATATTCTCTATTCACCTTACATCTAAAAACTTAAGGAAAAAATTATTTCAAAATTACGTCGTTTTAATAAATTTTTATTAAAAAAATTAAAATATTTTATTTTTAAAATATAAATTAAAGTATTTTTTATCTTTTCTATAGTACTTTATTAAAATGATGCAATTTTATAATAATTTTTTTTAATTTTTAAAAAATAAGATGAATAAGCATTAATTTCAATATTTTATAATTTTGGTGACTTTAACATTTTGGTTTGTAGCCATAACCTTGCCTAGCGTGCAAGCCATAACCTTGCCTAGCGTGCAAGGGGAAGTTACCCATATAAGCAGCATAAGCCTGAGCAATATCTTCAACAGCGAGGGGTTTATTCATATATATCCAGAAGCTGTTCAAGGGGACTTACTCTGAGTACACTGATCTTCAAGTGGCCACCTTGGTCTTACCTGTTGTATCCAGGAGTCATCCACAGCTAAAATGGGGACATTGTCACAGGATAAAGCCCCAGTACAGGCAATCCTCACCCCTGCATCAGATACTACAGCTACGACAAAGAAGGTAACTACTAAGTTTATGTAATGAGTATTTGCCTGCCTTAGAATCCTGCCTTTAAAGTATTACTGCATTTCTCTTCTAACTCGTAGCATCTGCTGTACATTTTTGGTACAGCATGTGTTTAGATTTGGGAAAGGAAGGAGTGAAGGCAACAAGAACATGAAGTCCCTGGTATGCATATTCTGAATTATCTTTCTACAGTGACAAAAAGTTTATGAATCCATTGGCATAATGGAGTTGTCATAATATAATCATTAAATTTTATTTTGGCTCGAACGTTGTTCAGTTTATGCAACACAGATACCGAGGCTGTTAACAAAAATTCATGGTATCAGAAAGATTGATGAATGTCTACATTTGTAATTGTTGTAGTTGGGAGGGAAGGGAGCAAATCTGGCAGAGATGTCAAGCATTGGGTTATCAGTGCCACCAGGACTTACCATATCAACAGAAGCATGCCAAGAGTATCAGCAGAACGGGAAGGAACTACCAGAAGGCCTGTGGGAGGAGATATTGGAAGGGTTGAAGAGTGTGGAGAAGGAAATGGTTGCTTACCTTGGTGATCCTTCTAAGCCGCTTCTTGTATCTGTTCGCTCTGGTGCTGCGGTAAGAGTTTGGAATGTTTATCATCTGCCTTGATCTTATGGATTATGACAATATTCTTGACATGTAACACTACTCTGACCATAAGCAAACCAATAAAACTGATTCATCCATTATTTACGGATCAAAACACAAGGCTTATTGACTGATTTTCTTCCATGTGTTTAGATCTCAATGCCAGGCATGATGGACACTGTCCTGAACCTTGGACTCAATGATGCAGTGATTTCTGGTTTGTCTGCAAAAAGTGGAGAGCGTTTTGCTTATGACTCCTATCGTCGTTTTCTAGATATGTTTGGAGACGTGGTAAGTAGTGCTTGATATAATTCATTTCCATATCTCAAGTAATGCATTTTTGAGCTATGTTTCCCTATCATATACACATCTTTCTCATTATTCTAGAGTGAAAGTCAATCACTTATGTGTCGCTGAATTCTTTCAATCAATGCAATCTTCGATATGTCTGGCTTGTTCTTGTCACTCTATTACAATTGTTTTGATTTGGAATAAATCTGTCACCTCTTTTTGTCATTGCTGAAGTTCTATTTAAAACCTTTTGCTGTTAAATTTTAGGTCATGGGCATTTCACATTCATTGTTTGACAAGAAGCTGGAAAAGATGAAGGAATCAAAAGGGGTTGAACTTGATACTGATCTCACTGCAGCTGATCTCAAGGAACTGGTAGAACAGTACAAGGAAGTCTATGTAGAAGCAAGGGGTGAAGAGTTTCCTTCAGGTACAAAGTGTGATACCAACAACACATTCAGTAATTCCTCTCATTTTCTCCCTGTAGAGTTCATACTCAGACTCTCTCTGGTGTTAGTGTTCTTCACTTTTGAATGGAGAGGATGTGTTTTAAATTTTCATCTTCAATGTCTTTCTATCTGTAGATCCAAAGAAGCAAATACAGCTGGCTGTTAAGGCAGTTTTTGATTCTTGGGACAGTCCTAGGGCCATCAAGTATCGAAGCATCAATCAGATAACTGGATTAAAAGGAACAGCAGTAAACATCCAAACAATGGTATTTGGAAACATGGGATATACTTCAGGAACTGGTGTTCTGTTCACTAGAAATCCAAGCACTGGGGAAAAGAAGCTCTATGGAGAGTTCCTAGCGAATGCTCAGGTTTTGGCTACAAAATTTTCTTTACCTTGCTGCCAACCTCAACTTCATTTTGGATTGTATTGTGAGTCTCACTGATGGATTTCTCTGGATAGGGAGAGGATGTAGTTGCTGGAATCAGAACACCAGAAGACTTGGACACGATAAAAAGTTGCTCGCCTGAAGCTTACAAAGAACTTGTTGAGAATTGTAGAATTCTGGAGCAACATTATAAAGATATGATGGTAAAGTTCCTATTGTCAAATGAATGTAATATTACTTTAGTGTATTTTTCAATCGTTTTTCTTGGTTTCTAAACTAATCTGATTTATAGACAAAATAAACCAAATATTTTTATCAATATTATGATGATCATTTCCGACATCCCTATAATAGAATTATTAACCAGTCTTCTCTCCCTGGTAAATGCAGGATATTGAGTTCACTGTTCAAGAAGGTAAGTTGTGGATGTTGCAATGTAGAACCGGGAAGCGTACTGGTATAGGTGCAGTTAAGATTGCTGTAGACATGGTGAATGAAGGGCTTCTTGATACTCATGCTGCAATTAAGATGGTGGAGCCACAACACTTAGACCAACTCCTTCATCCACAGGTAGACATGTCAGGATTACAATAATAGCAGTATCCCTTCTAAGTTTATTGTCCAAATAGACTTGACTAGAGGTAGTAGGACTAAGACCTCATTCTGATTGGGAATTAAAACCAAATTTGATTCAGATGACAACAGAAACTAATAGAGCACCATATGTATTAACTCGAGTAAATCATGAATATTAGATTTCAGTATTTTATTTGTATTTGATTGAACTCCTACATAAAATAATTTATATGTTGTTTGATTAGTTTGAAGATCCATCTGCTTACAAAGATAAAGTGGTTGCCAAGGGCTTACCTGCCTCTCCTGGCGCAGCAGTGGGGCAGATTGTGTTCAGTGCTGATGATGCTGAAGCTTGGCATGGACAAGGAAAGAGTGTGATCTTGGTATGCTCACATTCACCTTCATTTGTGACATCTATTTCTTTTCTGTTAAGCTGAATTAAAACAGGTGTTATGTCTAAAATCTTTTTCTTCCCTCATAATTATCAAGCTTCAAGGAATCACAATGAATGATGACATTGCTGAAGGGTTTGATTTCATTTTGCATACACAAGTTCCTTAGCCCGTGGACATATTCTTGTCCTATGCAAATTTTAAGCCCCTACTTTTTAAAATTGAATTAAGGAACTGAAGTTTCTCATGGCTTTACATGGTTGAAGGTTAGGACAGAAACCAGTCCAGAGGATATTGGGGGTATGCATGCAGCTGCAGGGATTCTGACTGCCAGAGGTGGCATGACATCTCATGCAGCTGTTGTGGCACGTGGATGGGGAAAGTGTTGTGTGTCTGGCTGTTCAGATATTCATGTGAATGATACCGAGAAGGTGAAGTTTTAATTCTTCTTCTTCATACATAATTTACCATTTCAGAATAAGTAGAACAAATTTCCTATGTATGTCCTTTATTAATAATGCAGGTTCTTGTGATTGGAGAAAACATGATTAAAGAAGGAGAATGGCTATCACTCAATGGTTCCACTGGTGAAGTGATTCTAGGGAAACAACCACTCGCTCCTCCAGCACTAAGTGGTGATTTGGAAACCTTTATGTCTTGGGCTGATGAAGTCAGGCATCTCAAGGTTCTACATTTTCTAAAACCATTCACAGGTTTCTGTTATGAATATTGGTAGTTAGAAGAACTGTCAACTAATTGAGTATTGTGATGCCATCATAGGTCATGGCAAATGCTGACACACCTGAAGATGCACAAACAGCAAGAAACAATGGTGCTCAGGGGATTGGCCTTTGCAGGACAGAACACATGGTAATTGTTTCAGAAATTATCTTTCAGATCATTATCAGTTTATCAACATATAAAGATAGATATGCATGCTGTATTTCTCCAATCCCTTCAGATACCTTATCATTGAGTAATTAAAAGTTCCCTAAAAATTGAATTGTCCATTGTACATACATTTTCTGGTGCATGCAGGAGCAGCACATCAATTTCTAAAAATATGACCTCCTTTACAGTCATTTTTATGTAGCTATTATCCCTGGTCTGATACTGATATAAATAAATATTCTGATGGCTTGATGTTTTGGGACCTTTCAGTTCTTTGCCTCAGATGAAAGGATAAAGGCGGTCAGAAAGATGATAATGGCAGCCACGCTTGAACAGCGGAAAGCAGCCTTAGACTTGTTACTTCCTTATCAAAGATCTGACTTTGAGGGAATTTTCCAAGCAATGGATGGTACCTTCTTCTCTACTCTTGAATGTGGAATTGCCTTGGTGCTTAACGTAGGCACATGTTACTTCATTGTGCTTCTTTATATTTGTATACTTAACTACTAGTAGAATAAGCTATTATTTATCATATTTTCAGGCTTTCCAGTAACTATCCGATTGTTAGACCCTCCACTACATGAATTTCTTCCAGAAGGCGACATGGAACATATAGTAAGTGAATTAACTTCAGAGACAGGCACGTCTAAGGATGAAGTTTTCTCAAGAATTGAAAAATTATCTGAAGTGAATCCTATGCTTGGTTTCCGAGGATGCAGGTCTGTCTAGTTTCTTCCTGATCAAACATTTTTCCCTATATTGTATAGAGTGATGTCTATGTGTGCTAAAGATATACATGTCAACATTCTTGATGTTGGTTGCTTTTGTTTCTGTTGTTTTGTCAACAGGCTAGGGATATCATACCCTGAGCTAACGGAGATGCAGGCACGTGCAATCTTTCAGGCTGCTGTCTCCATGAGCAACCAGGGAGTCAAAGTACTTCCTGAGATAATGGTGCCCCTTGTTGGAACACCTCAGGCATGAATTTTCTTGTTCCATGTCTCACATGTTTCAAATTCAGAACAAATTTTCTGAACATACCATTATTTCAGAATCTTGAATAATGCTTCCTCCAATTTAGTCTTCTCCCATTTTTGTTTACCTCTATCACCATGATTATACATCAAAAGGTTGTGCTCTAGACCCTCTTTTCCCTATTTGCTATGATTGAACGGATAAATATGAACATGATTTCCAGTGTTTTCATTGTTGCAAGTTTAAGCACCTCATTTCCATCTTCCGGAAAATTGACATTTCAAAATGACAGGAACTAGGCCATCAAGTCAGTTTAATACGAAGTGTTGCAAAGGAAGTCTTCTCTGAGACAGGTTGCTCCTTAAGCTATAAGGTTGGAACCATGATTGAGATCCCTAGAGCTGCCCTGGTTGCTGATGAGGTACCCTACACAAATACTGAACTCAGTATTTTTCTTTGACATCCAGCAGTTAGAACAGATGTTTGTGTTATTTTGTGATCATATCCTTTTTTCCTTGACAATGACAGATTGCAAAGGAAGCAGAGTTCTTCTCCTTTGGAACCAATGATCTCACTCAAATGACATTTGGGTACAGCCGTGATGATGTTAGCAAATTTCTCCCAATTTACCTATCCAAAGGCATTCTGCAGAGTGATCCATTTGAGGTTAGTCAATAGCATTTCCAAGTTCATTCCCTTCAATAAGAACAAATATGTAGCAACAAGAACAAGTTAGGATTCATTGCTCAGCATATCCTCCTGCTTTTTCAGGTTCTTGATCAGAAAGGTGTAGGCCAACTCGTCAAGATGGCAACAGAAAAGGGTCGTGCAGCTAGGCCTAGCTTGAAGGCAAGTATCATAATTTCCCCAACTTAAAATGGGGTGCAGAAGTTCAATTTAATTTGTTTCCCCTTCTTGAATTAATGAAGATGATGATGATGAAACAGGTTGGAATATGTGGGGAACATGGAGGGGAGCCTTCTTCTGTTGCATTCTTTGCAAAGGCTGGACTGGACTATGTTTCATGTTCTCCATTCAGGGTCCCTATTGCAAGACTAGCAGCAGCTCAAGTAGTCGTCTGAAAATAAGATTTTGAAAAAGCAGCACCTACATTTTTATGTTTCTTCGCATAAAATTCTCTCAACAAATACCCAGAATAAAACCATCTATGTCCTGTAAATTATCAACTTAAAATTTTTGCAAATTTTATTGAGAAAAAAGATTATGCTTGGAATGTGGTTTGATCATGAAGAGTCAATAGCTGCATACACCCTTTTTCTTTTAAAATTTGGTAATAATAGTTGCATACACCTTTTTTCATTATACATATGACAAATATGATAATTTGGCCAAAAAGAAATAAAACACAGAACAAGAGAAGAGTCACAAGGCTATTTTTTTTTTTAAAAAAAGTGTTTTCACTCATGAAAATGAAAAAAAAAAGATAAAAGAAAAATATTACGTAGTTTAAATTGCAAAGTAAAGTTACTGTTATTAATAATGCTCAAACACTTTTTTGTCTTTTTCATAAGGGTTGAGTTATTTTGTAATGGTTGAACAATTTGAAAGTTCAGTTCTTGAATCCTGCCATTAACGTTCCCTACCTATTGGATAGGATAGATAAATTCAATTATAAGTCTTCAGAGTTGATGAGAGTTGGTGGTATGCGCAACCTTACAATGAAAAATCTCTTCTCCTTGGCTTTTATATATATACATATATTCGTTGCATAATAGAGCATATTATTTATCTCACCATATTTATATATTATGTGATTTAAATTTAAAATTTTTTATTTTAATGAAAAAAATTATCACTAAATTATTTAAATTATTAATTTTTTTTTAAATAAATTATAAATTAAGAGGGAAATCAAATTCAACCTAGGATTAGAGGGTACATCTATTTATTAAGGGTGACAAAATCAATAAATCAAGAGGACCAATGCCTTCCTATAACTTGTTTGGTTAGATAATTAATTTTATAAAACTAATTTTTTATAAAAAAATAGTTTAAAAAAATATTATATGAAATGTTAATAAGAAAATTGAGGAAAAGATTTTTATCTTTAAAAAGTATAAAAATAAAAATTAATGAATTAAAAATTATATAAAAATTAAAAATTAAAAATGTCACTTATTTTATTTATTGTAGCATTAATAAATATTAATATATAAACAACCTTAAAAAAAAGTTTATAGAATTTTATTTCTTCCAAATCAAACACCTTACCAGTTGGGAGAAAAGTTTTTTTTTTAATTATTTTAAATTTTTAAGGTTATTTTTATATTTTTACTCTTTAATATTTTTTATTTTTATTTTTTTAAAACAATTCCGAATCAATAATTTTTTCTTTCCACAATTCTTAAAGCAAAAAAAAAAAGGGAGAAAGGAATTTTTTTTTTTAAGAAACAAAGAAGATGCAACCGGTTTAGAAAAAAAAAACCATTGATATAAAAATAATTTTTTATATTATTAAATAAATAAATAAATTTAATATTATAAAATTTAAATAAATAAAAAATTAATTTTTTAAATAATATATAAATTATAAAAAAAATGATAAAAAATTATCATATTAAAAAAACCAAAAAAAGATGCAACGGGTTTGTGTCTAGCTTTGTCCAGGTCCTGAATAATGATATGAAACCGACGCCAAAAACGGTGTCGTTATAGTAAACGTGAAACCCTAGAAGCTGTCATCCATGGCTGCTGCTACCACTGTACTGCGCTGTACGCCGGTCTCTCTGCACATACCCTGAATTGAAATGACCAAACTTGAAGTAGAAGAAGAGGAATGATTATAGAGAGCTGCGAGGTGGAGCACAACATAACCAAGAGGGACAACGTCGGAACGCTGGCGAAGAGCACCACGCCTGGTGGGTCGCACAGACCTCAACGCCTTCGGTAGCCACGGCTCCAGTTCCCACCTTCGTTTTCGTCACTTCCCATTCTTTCTCTCAAGGTACCCCCACTCTCACGAGGATGCACTGCTTCTGCATTTGTAATTGGTTAAAACTCCTTTTTGATCCCTAAACTATTGTACGGACCCCCGATTTAGTCCTTGAACTAAAAAAATCTCTGATTTGGTCCCTACTGTTTACCATTTTTACCCCGATTTGGTCCTTCCGTTAAAATATCACCATTATCTTATGACGATTTAATGACATGTCAAACATTTAAGACACGTCAGTTGTATAAATGAATAAATAATGACATGGCAACGAGACATGTCATGTTATTGCCCAACCCAACAAAAGTGGGGCCCAACAAAATTACGAATTTGCCATCATCTTCTTCCTCCAGCAAACAAACCCAGCACCTGGGTTGAATCGAACCCAACAGCGCCCTTTTTTTTTTCCTTCCTTTTCCTTGCCTTGCTTTCTTCATCATCATCAAACACATCATCATCAAACACCGAACCCACAGAAAAAATATATATATTTTTTACCCCCTGGGTTCCGTTGAACCCATGCCTGGGTTCGACGGAACCCAGCTGGTTCGCTGCTGGGTTCCAAACCTTGCTTTCTTCATCATCATCAAACACCAAACCCATAGATATTTTTTACCCCCTGTGTTCAAGGAACCCAAGCGTGCTGGGTTCTTCGAACCCACGCTTGGGTTTCATGGAACCCAGGTGTGGGTTCAAGAGAACCCAGCGCTTGGGTTCCTTCGAACCCAGCGCCTGGGTTCCGTCAAACCTGGGGTTGGGTTCCAAAGAACCCAATGGCGAACCAGTTGGGTTCTTCAAACCCAGTCGTGGGTTCAAGGGAACCCAGCGCCTGGGTTCCTTGGAACCCAACCCAAGCAAGCGTGCTGGGTTCGGTTCCTTGTGAACCCAGTGCCTAGGTGGGTTTGAAGGAACCCAGCAGGCGGGGAAAGAGAAGGGAAAGGGGAAGGAGAAAGAAAAAGGGAAAGGAGAAGGAGAAAGAAAAAAGATAAAAAGATAAAAAAAAAAAATTTTTTTAAGCACTACAAGAAAATCCATATTTAGTGACTAAATTATTGATCATTAAATCTTTATTTTTCGTCACAAATTATTATTAGTGATAAAATTTAAACCGTCAGTAAAACTCTTGTCACTAATGTTCTTGATGACAAATTAAACACCTGTCATAGAAAATAATTTTATAATGATAAAAAAAAATTGACATTGTTAACAAGTTATTTATAATAATTTTATTCGTCACAAAAAAATATTCGTCACAAATGCAATTATGATGCAAAATTTA